TATCCACCAGCTTTGTAACATGAAACCAAATTTGTCTTGTTCTTTTCTTTTGCCCTTCACCTCTTATGCTGAGTTTATTTTGCATTCCCTATATATATTTTTTCAAAGTTTGAACACAGATATAGGGGACCCTTTAAAAAGTGGAGTAAGCAAGCAATGGTAAGGATGTCTGTTTTTGAGTCCACCCGGACAAGACCTACAACTTTTCTCTCTGTTTACAAGTCTGGGTCCTCTAACTTAGTCTTTGTGTCTGCATGTTGTTGTGGTGTCAGGATTACCGGTGGCCCCCTTCTAACTCTTGTGAATGTATGAATATTCCCTAAATGTGAATGGCACTGTGATTGACAGAATAGAATCTATCAAATGGGTGTATCCTGAAGCATTTAGCAACCAAACATTCCCCTGAAATCTCTAAAGCTGACCCAGAATCCTTTGGTATAATGTGTACAGTTTTGTTCTTTACTTGAATGAATGTGCACATGTATCTTTTAACACACATTACACACTGCAGAAGTTTGTTCTCCTTACATGGCAATCATAGCACAACATACCTTAGTTACTGAAAAAAGTTTCCAGTTACTACATGCAATTTTAAATTTGTCAATAGTTCTTTCCAAACTTTTGCAAACACCTTGGCACCGTCTTGCAAACATTAAGCAGCCTCAGTTGGTTGCTGTCCATCCCCCAAGACTCAATGTGACCATCACATCTTCGTTTTCATGGATAATTTTAGCTTTGTGTTGGTAAGAACAAAAGTGAACAGGAACAAAGAGTAGTAAGAGAGAAACCCCGAGGATGACTTTGTTTCCTGAATATGAATCTCGTTTCTTTTGGGTGTTTTTCCCACATGAGCAACATTGCTCGCCCTTCTCTGTTCAGATGGAACAGTACCACATTTCATCCCCATATACTTTTTCTGTGCCTGTTCTAGAGGTTCAGAAGGTCTGTTTGTTGCAACTGACTGTAGTCCACCGTTTTTATTGCATCTTGTGAGTGCCATATTGGACCATCTCATTTTGCTAAAGTCCTCTTGGAAGCTGAAAGCTAGCAAAGAAGGCGTGGGGCTGGAAGAGGATTTCTCTATTTGATAAACTTTCCCCATTTTCAGTAGTTCCTTTTTCCTGTGGGAAAGCGCTGAAAAATGATGCCCAAGGCTTGTGGTTCTCAACCTTGGATAACTCAGGTGTTCCTGGACTACATCTTCAGGAAACCTCAGCCATCACAACTGGTGGTGAAGGCTTCTGGGAATTGTAGTCCATGAACACCTGGGTTACTGAAGGTTGAGAACCATTGCCCACCGCATTATCAGATTTCAGTAGCAAGATGTGAGGAGAATGGAGAGACCCTTGTGATGTCACAGAGGTGGAGCGAGCAATTGGAGAGCCTTCCCACTTGCCCCTAACCTGTACTGCTGCAGCCAGGCTTGCGCAACAGGTAGTCTCATGAGTTGTTAGGCTGGTGCTCCATACCCTGCCTTCCTCCTAAGAGTACAGTGGGTTCTTTATTGGTGTGTGAAAATGCCAGGATCAAGGGGAAGGGACACAAGAGAGAGCTGGTGAGTTCATGCATTTGGGCCCATTGGGAGATTTCAACCCACACATCCACACACCCACACAACCATATCTATGCACTCCTTCATGCTGGGTTAAGGAGACACAGAAACATCTGGGAATGGATGGAGAAGAGGGCCCAAAATTTACAGCAAGCTTACACTCAAAATCAAGCTATCAAACTTGAGTCTTTGAAATGGTGGCCTGTCTATCCAATGGAGAAGCACTTCACCCAGTGCTCCAAGACCTGGCAACCTTATTTGTTGTTGCTGTTGTTTAGTCGTTAAGTCGTGTCCGACTCTTCATGACCCCACGGAGCAGAGCACGCCAGGCCCTCTTGTCTTCCACTGCCTCCCAGAGTTTGGTCAAATTCATGTTGGTCGCTTTGATGACCCTGTCCGACCATCTCGTTCTCTTTCATCCCCTTCTCCTCTTACCTTCACGCTTTCCCAACATCAGGGTCTTTTCCAGGGAGTCTTCTTTTCTCACGAGACGGCCAAAGTATTGGAGCACACTTAAAATCTAAAGTGGCACGCTCATTAAAAAAAACCTAATTCAACCTGCTAACATGTCAAAAATGTACCAAGCTCATTAATGTATGTTAAACATAGGTCAGTTTGAGTATTGACATTTGCAAGGGTTGTAAGATACAGCAACAGATTTGTGATCATAAACATTAACTTTTCATGCTGTAATTCCCTGAATCCTACAGCCATGTGGCCACTCAACATAATAATTTCCCAGTCTCTGCTAAGTGACTCACAAAACGCTGGGAAAAATAGTTTTTTGAAGAGTAAGTCCTAGAAGGCCCCAATCAGCATAGCCACTATCAGGGTGCTATTATGGGAAACTTATTCTCTAGAACCAGGGATGGGGACTTGAGTCATGGGACACACGGCTGAGTCTCCCTTAAGTCGCACTGGCGACTTGACTTGAACTCAATTCTTTCCCCCCCAATGATTCGGACTTCAGACTCAAGACTTGGCCAACATCCCTGGTTAGAATTAAGCTTTCTAAGCCCTGGACTGTCTTCCAAGTTCAATATTTTCAATCCTGACTAGAAGTAACCCTCCAGGATTTCAGACTGAAATCTTCTCCGGGTGTAGCTGGAAATGTCACAGGTTAAAGTTTGCATGCCCTCCCTAGGAATGGCAAGATGGAGCTTGTGTCCATGCAGCATGGCTGTGTTCCTAAAGGCTTCTGTTCTTTACTTCTCTGATCCTTTTCCAACTGAGAGAAGGGTCTAAAGATATTCCCCTTCACCTTAATTCAAGAGATTTTCTTCAAAAATCAAGGGGTGGGAAAAAAAACCCACCCATCTCTGGACCTTGGAGGGACATTCCTGTTCTTGTGACCTCTAACCTCCCATTTTTTCCTCTCAGCTCAAATCCCTAACCCTCTCCTTCTCCTAATCCCTAACTCTAACTGCCATTCCACATCTCCAACGGTATCTCTCTAACTGTCCAACTGTCTGTCTAACTCTGCCCCTCCTGCCCTATCCTTGGCTCCTACCCCTTGAGCTTCTGTGATGGACAGGCAGGAATGACGTCACCTTTTGGAATTTCGCTACAGGGATTTTTAAAAAATATATAATTATTTTTGAAGATGAGCAGTGTTGGTGGCCACATTTGGGCCTATCTCATCTTAATGACTCAGGTTGCAGCCAGTCAGCGGTGTTTCTGAAAGCTGAAACTTGAAAGTGGTACGAAAGATGTCACCTGCACAATTCTTTTGCCTCAGATGGTTAAACAGGTGTTGTGGGTTTTTGAATCCCTAATCCACCACCCTTCCCAATGGCCAACGGCATTCAAACTTCTCTCAGAAAATAATTTCCTCTTTTCCAGTGTTACTTAACTCAGTCAAGAATGACAGCCTCCCCCAATAAAACCCTAGAAAGCGGTTTCTTTTATTCCAATATATATTTATTGTTGTTTAGTAAAAGGGTAACGAGCACAAAATATATATAATACCTGAAACTAGCAAAAATACCCTCAGCACCTGTTTTTAGTCAGAGGATAAGAGTTGGCTTGCAAGAGTGTGTGTTGAGTGGGGAGGAAGAAGAAAATGGGTTCACAAAAATAATTTGTGTACGTCAGGGCAGGTAATATTGAATGATTTTCGAGGGAACATTTTCCCTCTTCAAGAATCCCTGAAACTCAAGCTCAGTGGTATAGGCATCTGACTGCGGAGGATGGGAGTTTGATTCCCCTATTGTGCCTCCTTGACAGGGACTGGACCGGATGATCCATAGAGTCCCTTGCACCTCTGCAATTCTAAGATGATGATGATGATGATCAAGCAAGCAAATAAAGAAACAAGGCACGTCTGTTTCTGAAATCTTTTTCTTCACTCTCTGTAAAGATCCTGTTCCTGAGAGCCTGCAGGAGTAGAAAACTATTTTGACACCCCATTCTATTTTGTTGTTGTTGGGGGTCATTGAGAGTCTGGTCCCTAAAAGCCTTGATATGGCTTATGGGATACACCTTGCCCAGCTCTGGTGTAAGTATTTGGAGGTATTAAGCACAGAAGAAGACAACTTACAAAACCCTCTACTATGGGACATTTTCTTTATTGCATCTAGATGAGGCTGACTACGAGACAGGGGAATTCAGAATTCCCATGGCTTGGTAGGGTGTGACATCTGCCAGCTGATGCCATGCTGGATGGGTAAATACAGTATATGAAAGGGCAGAAAGTGGAAATGGGAGACGGAAAGTTGAAAAGAGGAAGCAAGGGTGGGAGATAAGGATTGAGGTCACTTGAACTGCTGGGTGGCTCAGTGGTTTAGGTATCTGGAGCCAGAGGTTGGGAGTTCAGTTCCCCACTGTGCCTTCTTGGTAGGGGCTGGACTCAATGATCCATAAGGTCCCTTCCAGCTCTAAGATTATTATAGACTATATAGAGTAGATCATAAGACACAAAGCTGCTTTCCATGGAGCCATGAGCAAAAAGCCACCCTTTATACTTCCTTATTTATTGGCCAGAATCCTGCTGGCATTTGTGTAAGGTTGACGTAACTTGCTGTGGCTAATTGCAGCTTGAGCACCTCCCAATTTCTTATCTAGCTGCATATGTCCAACTTTAAAGCCATGAGGTCCTTCAGCATCTCGTCAATTAGCTGCAATTAGCTTCTGCAAGTTATGCAAACATCTTACTCACACACCAAGAGGATTCCTGACATTTTATTTATTTGATGGGTTTTAAATCCACCCATCCACCCAAGAGGAGACGGGGATGACAGAGGATGAGATGGTTGGACAGGGTCATAGAAGAGACCAACATGAATTTGACCCAACTCCGGGAGGCCGTGGAAGACAGGAGGGCTTGGCGTGCTCGGATCCATGGGGTCATGAAGAGTCGGACAGGACTAAATGACTAAACATCACATCAAATCCACCCAGTCAGTCAAAAACACGGAAACACAAAGCAGCAAGAAAGCCGGTCAAATAATAAGGTAAAACTGCCAGCAGCATGTAATAAGACTAGAAGTACAATCAATGTTATTCCAAGTTCTAGCAGGATTGCTTTCTCCAGAAGAGACTTTGTGTTGATGGGACTTCAGGGCACCGGTCAAGGAAAAGAAATTGCTCAACGAGAGGGCCTGGGGTCATCCTACTGAAAATGGAGGCCTGGTCCTGCCCCATGGTTTCTGCTTTGTACCTCTGAAGAGGAACAGTATGATTTTCATATCGGACGCTGTAGGATGTTCTTGTAGTCAGGGCCTGGAGGCTTCTTTAAATGCATCATGGTGGAGAAAAGCCATTTCACCTACACAGAGAGGAAGGATAATCGGAGACATTAAAAAAAGAAAGAAAAAAAAGCAAAGAAGAAAGGACACAAGTTGGGTGTAGAAAAAGAAGCATTGACAGGTCTCTTCATGCAGTTTTAGTTTCCTTATTAACACTTGTTCCCGTCCCGCTTTCTTGCTGGTTGTATTTTCCTCCAATCTTTGCCTGCCCCTTGTCCCTTAATCTCTCTTGCCACCTCGTTCTCTCAGTCAAATCTCTTTCCTTCTTCCTCTATATTTAATGGCATATTTTGCAAACTGCCAAGTGTATTGTTAAGAGCTATGTGATTGGTAGGGGTGTTTATAGAATGATAGAATTGCTGAGTTGAAAGGGGCCTATAAGGCCATTACGTCCAACCCTCTGCTCAAGGCAGGAATCCAAATCAAAGCAGATATGCAGATGATTCTCCAATTTTCTCTTGAATGCCTCCAACGTTCACCACCATTGGTTCCATTGTCGTAGTGCTCTAACAGTTAATATTTTTGCTAATGTTCAGCATAAATCTGGTTTACTTAAGCCCATTGTTTTGTGTCCGGCGCTCTGGGATGATTGAGAACAAATCCTGACCATTTCTGTACGACAGCCTTTCAAGTCTTTGGAAAACTTGCAGACGATTCTCCAATTTTCTCTTGAATGCCTCCAACATTCACCACCACAGGTTCCATTGTCGTACTGCTCTAACAGTTGATTTTTTTTTGCTGATATTCAGGCTAAATCTGGTTTACTGTAACTTGAGCCCACAAGTATAGAGTCAAGAACAGGATACAGTACTCTAGATGAGGCCAACCAGGGCTGAACAGAGGGGAAATAATAACTCATGGAATCTGGAGAACTATACTTCTGTGTTCAGATAATCTAATACAAGGATTTCAGTATTTAAAAGACCATGATATTGTCCATGGTGAACTAGACCCAAGGCTCACCCAATGTGACCAGCAATGTATTTATACAAGATCTTCAAACAGAAGATAGCTTCCTATTGCCAACTAGGGCTGAACAGAAGAGGAAATAATAACTCATGGAATCTGGAGACTATGCTTCTATGTTCATATAATCTATCACCAATTTGAAATGAACAATACAAGGATTTCAGTATTTAAAAGACCATGATATTGTCCATGGTGAACTAGACCCAAGGCTCACCCAATGTGACCAGCAATGTATTTATACAAGATCTTCAAACAGAAGATAGCTTCCTATTGCCCATGCCCCTCATCCACCACTACTCAAAGCATTGTTGTTGTTGTTTAGTCGTTAAGTCGTGTCCGACTCTTCGTGACCCCATGGACAAGAGCACGCCAGGCCCTCCTGTCTTCCACTGCCTCCCGGAGTTGGGTCAAATTTATGTTGGTGGCTTCGGTGACACTGTCCATCCATCTCATTTTCTATCATCCCCTTCTTCTCTTTTCTTCACACTTTCCTAACATCAGGGTCTTTTCCAGGGAGTCTTGGTAAAATATAGGTAGCCATTATGATGGGCAGCCACTGAATAACCATATCCTTTTACCAAAACCCTTCCCCATTCATCCACTCTCAAAATAGTTATGCTGGCATCTTTCCAGCCTGGTGCAACCAGAAGGGAAAAGTGAACGTGTGGAACCCCTTCCCTTCCGCCTTACTTTGACCATTGTCACCATTGCGCTGTAGCACACGCTGAGGAGGAAAAGAATGAAAAAAACAAAGATGGTGGCCCACAGGTGTTCCAGCTCTTCTTTCTCATCATTATAATCGTTCTCTATCGACGCATTTATCTCTGTGAAAGAAGAAAAAAGAAGTCATGGGCATAAAATATCTCAACTTCCCTCTATCCACCCACGTATATGGCTACGAATCTCTTTATCTGCCCTCACTTGTTCACCACATGTGATCTTTGGCCTATCCAAGCAACTCCTCTCCACTGAGGGAAAAAAACCCTTGACTTTCTACTGTCAACTTGCCTAAGCATGAACCTATTTTATTAGGGACTTGCATTCGATCAGCTTTTAATGGAATTGTTCTGTGAGGGACTTGCTGAGGAAAGCCACCCAGAGAGCTTCATGGTTGAAGGATCTGAACCTATACTTCCTTCCACACATATTTGGGCTCCGGTATCAAAGATGCCTGGGATGTTTCTAGCTTTCCGTATGAATTTGACCATGCTTGCCTCTTTCTTTGTTCAGCTTCCGAAGTCTCCTCTCCACCTACTGCATGTTCACTCGGATGATTATCTCTTTTAATTACACTCTGGTGAGATTAGCCATGCTAATGGCCTTGGGGTTGTAACGCTTGGCAGTCCCACCAAGAATGGCAGTGAGTCACACAACTTGTGGCTTGTTGCACAAAGCTTCTGCGGCAGCACCACGTTGTCTACATTTGTTCCGATGGGGTCTCCTTCCTTTGCTTCCAGAAGTGTATTTATGAGAGAGGGAATTATCTTACTGGTGAAGGCAAACGTTCAGATAGTTCAATGGTTCAGGTCTCTGGTTATGGAGCCAGAGGTTGGGAGTTCGATTCCCCACTCGTTGAGACGGCTGGACCTGATGATCTATAGAGTCCCTTCTAGCACTGCAGCTGCAAGGTTTATAGCTTCTCTAGGGTATGGGTGTTTGACTGTCACAGATTACATACTCTGTGTAGACATGACACAAGACAATCATTTTTTTGAAATGACGGGTGTTCTTTCAAGTATGGAAATGCCATTTCCTTCTTCTGATACTGAAGATCATACATGTCAGAAGTATGTTAATGTCTGTCTTGACTGTGTTTTTACATTGTTTATATGCGCATCCCCTTGACTACGTCATAATATATTCTCTTCCACTCACTTTACTATGAGTGACCCATCCATTAATTCTCCTTGAATGGTTTGTGAATTTTTTCCATTCTTCTACCTGTTCCCCTGAGCCATTTAATCAGGCTTGGCTCAATCGCTCATCCATTTTGGTTTATTTCTGCAGGGTTTATAGCTTCTCTAGGGTATGGGTGTTTGACTGTCACAGATTGTGTAGATGTGACACAAGACAATCATTTTTTTAAAATGATGGGTGTTCTTTCAAGTGCGCTTGGAAATGCCATTTCCTTCTTCTGAATCTGAAGGTTGTACATGTCAGAAGTATGTTAACGTCTGTCTTGACTGTGTTTTTACATTGTTTATATGCTTATCCCCTTGACTTCATCATAATATATTCTCTTCCGCTCACTTTATTATGAGTGACCCATCCATTAATTCTCCTTGAATAGTTTGTGAATCTTTCCCCTTCTTCTACCTGTTGCCCTGAGCCATTTAATCAGGCTTGGCTGAATCGCTCATCCATTTTGGTTTATTTTAGGCTCCAACTGCAGATTGTCCGAAATACGTCATTTGGAGTAGTCTTCTTTTAAATTGTGACTGGTTTTAAAAATTACTAATAGTCATGATGACGATACCAGTTGGGGACCGGAGGAATCACATGTGATCAGTTTTCAAGAAATCCTTCCCTTCTCTGCTATGGTCCCGATAAAAACCATATTCTTGCCTCTGAATGGTTCCTGGAGGAGACTTTGTTGGCTTTAAAGGGCATTTTTACCCATGAGTAAAGGTAGCCAATGGGGGAGAGGTGAAGAGACAGAATTTTTGTGGGTACTGGCCTAGGAAAAATAAAGTCTTTAAAATTCTTTCCTTCAAACAACCAGTTTTTAAGCTTTGAAATTACTTTCCTCCTAGGTCATTCATATGTAGTGTGGAATCTATGTTTAGATGACTGTATATGTATTTATAAATACAGTATATTTTTTTAAAAATGTAAATGTTTTAAATCATTAAACATTTTTTAAGCGGTTGGAAAGCTCAGTGCTTTTTGGGAGAAGAGCCAGCCTGGGTGGCCTTGGGCAAGCTACACAGTCCCAGGATGCCCCCAGGATGCTCACATCTGAGCATTCTCTACCTAGAAAATCCAGCAAAGGGTTATCA